ATCACAACACGGGCCGTGTCACACAACACGACCACCCGTGTTGCACCTCTGTTTGAGGTTTCAACGTGTAAAATGCCCAGGACCCCTGAAACGGGCTGTGTCACACAACATGGCCACCCGTGTTGCACCTCTGTCAAGACCCAAAAATCCTCTTTGCATGTACCTTGTGACACAAGCTGTGTCACACAACACGGCCGCCCGTGTCACACCACTGTTTTTCACTTATTTTGTTATTTTACCTAAAAAAAAAATTTCTCAAGGAGTTCGCACGACGAACTCCTTAATGGCACTTCGTGCCGTTTTTTTTTGCATGTCTCGATTTTTTTATGCGACTAACCCGATATGTTTGTATGTTTTTCGTATGTGAATGCTGTTGTGGTCCTTGTTGACCTTTGATTCCAAAAAACCTTTTTTAAAAGCAAACTCTCGATTTTATCGAGCCATTTTCACCCGTATAAGTCAATTGCCTTGTGCATCGCCACCAACCATGTCCGTATCACTTCAAGTTCATTTTCATAAACAATAAACCTTGATCCAACGTCAAGTGATCATTTTCTCAATAAAAAATCCAAAACACAATAAATATATGGTTAGGACTATACACCATGGATTTTAAAGTGGTGGAAAAAGAATGAGAATGGAGTCCTCCTACACTCGTTCCGAATGTTTTGGATACAAGGCGCTCAACTTGGTTATTTGAAACATTCATTTCTATCCAAAGTCTTTTGTGTATAATCCTAATCAAGAACAATTTCTCTTAAGAAACTTAAAAATAACTTCAACTCATCAAACCTATTTTCGCCTTAGGGCATCAATCCAAAAACCCTTTTTCAAGGTATAAAATCAACCAACAAACAACAATTTCACAAGCCTCCGAACTACGGAGCTCTGATTCTTCACTTCTTTTAAGTGAGGATACGTAGGCACAAGGGCCACAATCCTTGGCGAGCACTATAATAAAAAACAACCAACCCCTTTTTTCCTAAAACAAGCAAAGCCTTAGATAAAACACCCACTCAGGCAAAACGACCTAGGAGGTTCCCATCGAGTACGATGGATGCGAGGGGGTGCTAATACATTCCCCTTGCATAACCGACTCCTGAATCCTAAGACTTGGTTGCGACGACCACACTCTTTTCCAAAAAGGTTTTATCGCTATTTCCCTTTCCCTCCTTGGGATAAATAAAATCCGGTGGCGACTCTGTGTCATTTTTCGCGTAGCGACAAACATATAACGAAGTTTTATCAAAGACGAATAAAATTGTAGTTTTGCAAACTTCTTACAAAAATCCATAAAATCTTTTAGCACTGTCCCACCAGGTATGCCAATTTGTTTCCCTTGAAAAATGGAAAACAACCGCTGATCTTCCAAATCTAACTTTGGTGACTCACATGATTGATCAGATTGATTCTAGGACATGTGCTAAATTTTATGTGAAAGAAATTATCTAAACTACACACTTCGATAGTGTTTTGAGGGAAATGTTTAATGTAAATGTAAGGCTCGACTGAAATAAAAGGACGTGAATTCGTAGGAAATAAAGTAATGAACCTTTAAAACATTTAAACCAAGTGAAGCAAAATGCATGGAAGATGTAAATTGCAAGGAAGTAAAGATAAACTCTTTAAGATAAAACAAGTAAAATAAGTTTCATTGAAAGTAAAGATGGTGTGTTTACATGACGTACATTCTCCTAAAACTCGTTTATCTACACGCGGATACTTTGAGTAATTTTAGGAGTAACTTGTACAATAGTAAATTACAACACACTGAATTCTATGGCTAGAACCCTTATTTATAATAGTAAAATTAATTGTCATCAACCTCCTAAAACAACCAGCCCATGACAAGTGTCATATTGCATGTAGTCACTTGTCATATGAGCGTCACTTGTCTTGTTTAGTCATGAGAAAGCATAACTACTCCCTCCTTTATTTGAATTTCAAAATTCCACTAATACTTAGCCAGTAGCATTGGTCGAATGTGGTATCCTTAATATTCGGAAATATTCTCTAAGTCCCAAAATGCTTGAATAACCCAGCCTACTCGAATGACTCCTTCACTCGAAGTCTTTCACACTTCTTCAAGAGCTTAATATTTTATCCAAATATTTTATTCTAATATGTGTGTCAAATTTGTGAGCTAACAATCACGTCAACACGGATTCGACCGAGTGGAGGCCTTGAAACAAGGTGGTTTCCTTGCAAGGGAGTAGCGTGAGACAATGAATCGTGTTCGAGAATCTTGGGTTCAACAAGTGCGTGCTCGGAATAATCGGTGGATTGTAGCCGCATTATTGGTGACTTGATTAAGCTTTGATCAAGGGTTTGAAGGTGGTTGAGTCAACAACAAACCATAGAGTTTGTGGGGTTAGAGTTCTTCACCTATTGTATAAATATTTTTGCAAATATAAGGTAAATTGCCTGTATCTCAAGTTGATTTCGGATTGAGGGCAGACATACTCATAGCGAGGTTGATTGGGGAACTGCCTAAACAAATATTTGTGTCTCTTTATCTCTTTAATCATCGTTCTTGCAAATTATCAATTTTGTTGTTGTTTCGATTAATTCAATTGGAAATTGTTTTCAACTATCTTTTAAAGTGTTGTTGTTGATACAATCATAATCACTTCGATTGTGATTGAAATTTAACATCAACAAAATAAATTAAATTTCTAAACGTGATCAATCACACACAAAGTGTTCGATAAGTTGTCTTTGAGTATTTTTATTGCTTTGTGTTCATTGGAAATAAGCTTTACGAATAACATTGCATTTGATTGGCCAATGAATTAGTTGTTGTTGAACAATTTGTGTTCATTATCCGAGCTTTCCGATAGTAGGTTCGATTAGACGATTCGATTCGAGTTGTTTCTGTTGTGCCATAAAATTTTTAAAATAAAATTTTACCAAAAGTTTTGGTTTTAAATTTGTGATCTATTCACCCCCTCTAGATCGAAGCTTATCGTCTAACAATATTGGACAATCGGAGAAACAAAAACACCTTGAACATTCAGAGAAATAACTTGTTTTGGAAAAACATCGGGGTGCACCATATCTAATGAAAACAATTAAAACCATAATAATGCATAAACGTTACTGCTATAGAATGACTTTGAAAATGAACACAAACAACTTCCAGAAAAGCATTTTCGGACAAGTTCATACAAGTTTCAGATATACATTTCTGGGCCCAATGTAACTTTTTAAAGGAAAAATGGATTATTGATGTGAGCAATGCAGAGGGAAAAGAAGAATCATTACCTGCAATTCTATCTTATTTTTCTCCTTATGACGTGATGAACCAAAAGAATGGAGATTTGTAGTGGAAAAATGAATTGAGAATGAAAGGTTTGGTTGAAAACCAACTATGACAACAATGGTTGTGTGATCATGCAACTGGTTCTTTTATCAGATATTTTCGGAGATACATCTCTCAAAATATCTGACATGCAAAAGTGACAGAAAATTTTAAAATATCTTTCATAATTTCGGAGATGCATCTCTGGAATCTTCATTGAATTGGTAAATAATTAAGATTTTTCTTAAAATACTCTGGAGATGCATTTTCAGAATAAAAATAACCCAACATATAAAGCGCCTCTCAGAATAGTCTTACTTGAGTGTGCAAGAGGTGCGTCCGGAGATATATCTCCGAAAACAGGGGCATATGTGAAAATCCACATGGTGTTCTAGAACGATCTAGGGTGCGTTAAGAAATTCTCAAAAAATACGAGCGCTAATTTTAAAGCCCAATCCTACGATTTTTCGGACCTGACGAGCCGACTCATATGAGCTAGCCTATTTTGACAGATCTACACAAACCAATCCATTGATGAATTGAACATTATGTGAAAAAAATTTATATCATCGGAAATTTCATTTTTTGACCGGAAAATTTGAAATTTATGAAAAAAATAACTAAGAATAATAGCAAAATTAAAAAAAAAAATCAATTTTTTTTTGTACTACCAAAAATTTTGAAATTTCTAGTACTGCACCAAAAATTTTAAAATTTTCGGTAACGTAAAAAAAATTCATATTTTTTTCTGAAAATTTCTGGTATAAAAATGAAATTTTCGATATTCTTCATATTTTTTTTTTGAAAATTTTCATTTTTTATTGAAAATTTCAAATTTTCGATAAAAAATAGAAAAATTTCTGAAATTCCCGATAAAAAATGGAAAAATTCTAAAATCTCATATACATATTGCAAATTTACAATAAAAACATAAATTTCAAAAAATCTGATTTTTATAAAAAAATATAATAATAAAAACGCGTTAAATAAGGAATGTCAGGTACAAATTGAGTGTGATAGATTAAGTGGTTCTAGTAATTCAGAGTTCTGCGTCAGAGGTACGTGATCTGATCAAACATTGTTCTCATTAGATATGGAACTCAGTATTTTTTGAATGGACCGCCTAATCTAGTTCGGGAGTCAGTTCTGACATCAAGTAGTTTCAGCCCCCGAACACAGTTGTAAAAGGTCGAACCATAATTCTTTGAATATTGGATTTGAATAAACCCTACTTATACCGATACATCCATCTCTACAAATCATTCAATGCGTTTAATTAGTAAACCTAGTAGTTTTTAGAGGTAAAACACGTGTTAACTTTCTATTATTAAAAAGGCATTGTCGCGGGGGACTCGTACACTTTACACTGAATCAGTTTCTTTCCATTAGTTCTGTTTCAAATTTTTCTTCTTCTCAATCTCTGCAAAGGTAAACCAAACTCTTACTCCTGTATTTCGTTTATTCATGTACAGTTCCATCGTGTTGTTCAACTAAAGAACTATAGAATTGCATTTGCTATTAGGGTTTCGACGTGAATTTTTTGTTTCCTTTCTGAATAAAACACCGATACGAATTCGAGTCGTAAACCCTAGAATTAACAACGTCGATGTATTGTATGTAATATGTTCCATCTATCTACTGATATTGTCCAATGATTAACAATATGGATTCACTGAATGCAGGTTAGGTGTTTGTTGTTATGGATGAAGGAGATAACATTCTCGATGTTATATACGATGAGGATAATTTAGATGATGATGATGATGTTGACATGGTTGATGTTGAAGAAGGAGAGTTGGTGGAGCCCGATTCGAATAATGTTGTGGGACAAAGTAGTGCTGGAGATGTCATTGAGGCAAAACATGAATCTCATGGTGAGAACTCGAAGTGTGGAGCTAGCAAGAAGAAGAGGAAGAGGAACAAGAAAAAGAGAAAGGGTTTGGGATCTAAAGTCATTAATATAGACAGGTTTGACATTCTTCTACATTCACCGAATTTGGGTTTTGGAAGGAATCTATTTTTAGGATAAACTATGCTTTTTGCCCTTTTAAGTGTAGTTTACTGTCACAAAATTCGTTATTTTCAAATGAGATTCAAAGTTCAAATAAATAACTTGAAACCACCAAAAAAGTCAGTGTTTCAATACATTTCTATAATCCATTCCTGTTAAGTTTTTATTGTTTTTTGTATTGCACCATATCATGACTTGTCAATAATCGGAACATTTAGTTTTGACCCCTTCACTATCCATGTCTATTGATTTTCTTGTCTCCACTCCCCCGTTCGACACCGGTACTGTGTCATTTTATTTTGTTTCTAATGTTGTCCCCTACTCTGACTTTCACCAAGAGAAGATTATGAGCTAAAGATCCACCATTAGGTACTCTGCAGTTCATTTTCGAGTACAAATGCAAACTTGCTGGACTGTTTTAAAGCATAAAGAATGTAGATATGCTTGAGGCATATATGTTTAGGGAAAGGTTTAGTTGTCAAACAAATAGGCCCCGACCCAGTGCTTGAAGTGGAGTACCCAGCTCCAAAATTTGGAAACTGAAGTTGAAATTAGACTTGAGCAAAGTAATTTAGGTGGTAAATTAACTAAAGAAGTTATTGTTAAATATTTGTATTATATTAGGGAATTAGGGGTTTTGAGATCCATAATAAACATTAAGTGGGCAATTTTTTGAAGTTTGGGGTAAAGTGCACATGACATAACTTCTAAGGGAATGCATTGTATTTTAGCCTTCTTTCTATGTTGATTTGAATTACGGAACAACTTAGATTTAATCCAAGCTTAGTGTTATGCTCAATTATCGGTCTAGCCTCAAAAACCTAAATGAGGGCTTAATAAACTCATTTGCCTATGTGACCCAACAAAATTTTGAATTTGATTCTATTATTAAGTATTAAGGGTTCTACATTTTTCTATTCCTTTTTATTTAGTCTAAAATTGCAGCGGTTTCCCGCCCTTTGTTTTCCTAACTTCACTTAGTGTTGTGCTCATTTATCGGTCTAGCCTCCGCAAAAACCTAATAAATGGTTTAACAAACTCATTTGCCTGTGTGACCCAGCAGAATTTCGAATTCGATTATATTATTAAGTATTTGAGGGTTTTACATTTAAGTATTTAAGTATTCCTTTTTATTTTAGTCTAATATTGCAGCAGTTTCCTGCCCTTTGTTTTCCTAACCTCCCCTACTTTGAATTGAATTGAATGCGGGCATAAGATCATTGTATTGTTTGTTCATAAAAAATATATATAGCAGCATTCTAACAAAGTATGTGTTTTTCAGATTTGTGTCAGATATCTGTTATCGTCTGAAAGAGAAAAAGAGATATATGGTATACATTGCTGCAGGTTGTCTTGGAATCTCTGCACTGAGTGATATCGTCAAAGAGGTATTGAAACCCTTTTATGCACCCAGTTTTAGTTTATTAAGCAAGCTTATATTGTTCCTTAGTTCATCTTTAAGAATTTCTGTGAAATACCATTGCCACTTGTAATTTGGAAAACAATTCTTAAGATCCTCTGTAAGTAGCATCAACAACAACAACAACCACCAAACCATATCCCACTAAGTGGGGTTGGCTACATGATCAAATTACGCCATAATGTTCTATCTAAGACCATGTTTCTATCAAATTTGTTAATTCAAGATCTATAAATTGACCTAAATAATATTGGTCTGGCCATACTGTTTGGTACCTAGTATTTGTCTACTTGGAAAATATTATTTCCATGCAGCATGTACTAATCCAACCATCTTGTTTTTCTTTCATCAAGTGTTATTTGAAGGATTTCCTTATTGCATTCATGTGCTGCAATTTGCATCCTCTCATCACTTTTTTTCTTATCCGTTCATCTTGTCTTTGTTTTCACTTATTTTCTCTGTTCTTCTTGATTGAATTAGTAATTCTAAATCCTTCCCTTTCTTTTAATTTTATAGAATTTTTTGTTGCCAGGATGATCGTCAATGGTGTTAGTTTAACTGTATAACTGAGATATGGTTCTCTGCACCGTTTACGGTTGTTAGAGTCATCTTTATTTTCTGGTGTATTTAGTTGGCCACTTAGAACCCTTTATGTGATGGTTTCTACAACCTTTGTTTTAATCTTACAAATTTTATCAAGTTCACATGGTCCTTACTCCTATGGAAACTTCCGGATTATTTCTATTCTAACCTTGGCCTCACTCACTTATTCAATGGCCACTCATTTAGTCTCCTGCCGGAATGTTCGTTGTATTTCTTTGAAGTAAATTATTCTTTTTGTGATTTATTTCCCCTCTCTTTAATGGGAATGTGGCTATAGTTTGGAGAAGATATAATTGGCTGTCTACTAAAGGAAAGGTGAGAGTTAAGGTTATACTCTGTGGATGAGTCTTGATTTGAGCCACTTATGCTTATCCACTCTTTAAGTGCCCTACAGCCATTCATAATTTCTGATGCATGTAATTTTGTCCCTAACCTTGCAGATTTTTCTTCCAGATGCTAGTTTGCCCTTCCAATCCTCTGCTTGATCTTTGGTGTTCCTGGCTGAATCACTTTATTATTTACAAATTATGAAGGTTGATGTTCACATTTGTTGCTTCATTTTTTCACACCCCCCTCATTAGTAGGGAATGCTTTTCACTTTTAACCGCATAACCATAATTGATTTTCTAAGCTTGTGTTTGTTGGGCTGGGGAAAGGGATAGTAATGACTATTGAGTCATTGTAGTAAATTTTGCCCACTTCAATGTAGCAACCAACATTTTCAGAGCTGAAATTGAATATCTCTTAATCTAAAGGCAAAGCATATATTGTTGATTATCTCAATGACATTTTACTCAAGAAATGATCTTTGCTTTTTGACGTTGTATCATTCTTTTTCTTAACGAGCTTACGTCGCTGAATAGCTAGAAATAAAGAAGCTATGGTACTACTATGATTTTCCTTTAAATATGTTGGGCATTTTCAAAATGACTGGGCAGACCAGTGTATAGTTTACATGTTTATTTGGCTTTATCTTCAAATCTACATGTGAATAGTCTTGCTGAAAGTTGTATATATAACCTTGCATCCATTTTATTTAGATTGGAAAGCCATTGACTTTTGGTCATCTGCTTCCTGGAATCTGCAGCTTTCTTATGTGTCAAGATTTCTGAATCTAAGCTAGCATTATCAAGCAGTGGGAATTGGGGGTATCATTGGCGTTGCCAATCTGGACATTTTACCAATAAAAATATCAACTCCGTTCTGTTTTTCTCTTTCTATTTGATGTAGTGGCTTGGACATTCAATATGCTTTGCATGAAATCAGTGCTAGTATAGTATCCACCATCTCTATAATATGTAGACATTAGGTTTGATTACTTAAGTTTCAGAATGAAAGTACCTGTTTATATTCATATTAATTTTTGTTAAAACTTAATATGCTCAAGTTGATACATTGTAAATTTGTATGGGGAGTTTGCAGGTTGATGCGATACAAACCTGTGGAGGCCAAAAGACTGCTGATGGTAGACGATTCCGGACTGGGGGTGGCATATTGTGGAACATCATAAAAGTTCGGGAACCAAATGCCTACAAAGAGATAATGAAAAAAACTAAAGAGGCTGAGGTACGTGAATAATCTTCGTATTTTTGTGTGGGCAAGAACCTAGGACTTTATCTTGGCTCGTTACAATGTGGTCGGTGACACCTAAAGTCGGCATTCACAAAAATAAGATTGATATTGTGTCATCACCCATGCATGTTTGTAGTAACTAGTAAGTAGGAGTTCATTTTCATTTTTCTATCCAAACAAATTAAGGTTTGTCTTCATTATAAATGACAGTGCTGCTTTTTATTAGGTAGGTACATGTGTTATCTCTTAAATAACTTTTCAAATTAACTGCTTCTTAATAACTTTTTTTTTGGGTCTTTGCCCATCGTGTTTATAATAATGCAGAAGCAATTCGGGCAGCCAATTTTTAAGCAACTTAATGTGCCAAAGCAAGAGGATTCGTCTCAAGGAGTGGCCTTTTCATTTGCTGGCAGTGATCAGGGAAATGTTTCCAACAGTGCATGTCATGCATCAGAAGTACAAAATCAACATGAACCAGTTACTCCCAAAGAAAAGTCTATATCTGTTCATGATAGGTTAAGGATACCTGTTTCCTACGACGATGATCTTCTTGGAGAGAATCCAGTCAATCACGCAACCTGACTCTAGAAAGAAAGCGGACTTCATCACTAGACAGCTGTTCTCCCTTTTAGACGGAGGTTTACTGATGCATTTCTTTCATCTCCCTCGGGCGAAGACTGCTTTGTTCTTTCCTGTGTTCATTTTTGCTCTCCCACCCTTTAATTTCCTTGTTTCTTTATTTACTGTCAAATGAGTCTAGGACGAGGGAAAACATAAAAATTGGAAGAAGAGAGGTATAGTGGTGGATGCATTGTGGTTACAGTTAACCAACAAGCGTTTCATTAGATTTTGCTGCACATGTCTCAAATAGATGTGGAAATTTATGAAGGATTTCATGAAATTTATGAAAAAGAAAGATAGCAGAATTGCAAGGTTTTTTGGGAATTCACCTATCAAAATCATGAGTTTGATATTCTTTTTCTCAAAGTTGCTTCGCTCTACTGAATGCATCAGACAATTTTAGTAAAAAGTTGTGGAAATTATATTAGTAAAAAATGTTTCAGAGTAACTTTTGCAAATTAAGTAATAAAACCCTCGATTCTTTTTCAGTCAATTTTGGACTACGCAAATTCAATATGTTGTGTTCTCGTGATTTTAAAATCACATCTGTGTATAATGTAATATGCAACATTTCGTGTTTTATTAATAGCAAAGGAAAGTCCTTAGGTGTCTTTTATAAGATAGTAGTATCAGTTATCTAAATATCAGTAGTGCCTCCTTTCATGTTCAAAAAACTCTAGCATGATAAACTTCTCTCAAGTACAATCCACCTAAACATCTCAATTTCAAACGAAGGATTTGAATCTATAATGTGTAACAAAATGTGGATTAAAACACCAGTTAACTAACAAATTGACCATCCATACAAATTATCTCGAATAAAATCATGTTAGGCGCATAATTTACATAAAAATACCAGGGCACATGAGTCAGAATAAAATCAAGATAGGTGCATAATTTACATAAAAATACCAGGGCACATGAGTCAGATATTACTATCTAAAAATCCTTGTGCAATTCTAGAAGGAAAACACATTAAAACCAGTAACTTAAATAGTCTGAGAATACTGTTTAGACACTGCCATTCTCACTGGCTGGATCCTGGATTTGGTGCAGCATCTTCAATAGCCATTGGCTCTGTCTGAGGAGCTTTCTTGGTAAGCAGTTTAGGGATGTCAACATTGTCTTGGACACAACGCTGTTGAGGATGCGACAACAGAATTAACACATGGCGGAAAAGAACCCTCGCTAACCCTTGTCCACTCTCCCAGATATAACCCTCATATTCAGTAACATGTTCAAGAGCTTCGACTAATGTATCATACACCTCCTGGGGGCAATTGTCAGGCCCGGGTTTGTCATGAAGGTACATGACATCCAAAGTGAATAGCTTCTGGTTCACGGGCCACTGATGCTGCGGGCGCACGTTTGATCGGCAGTAGAATAAAATCTAGAAAGGAATAGCAAACAACATATTATGATTCCTGACAAAATTGTACCAAACCACGTGATAACAGATCTACACAAACCAAAACAGGTGAAGTGATTTGATAAATCATTGATGGTAGCTACTACTCACCACTCTTAAAATGCGACCCTGCGTACGGGATTTTCTAGATTCATGAGCAGCAAGTCGAAACAAAGTAGTAAGGTCTGGTTGACTGCTAGATTTAGTAGCTGTAAGCGCTCGCATTGCTGCAATAGTTGACTCAACTTCACTGCTAAACTCTTTCTTCAACTGTAACGATTAACAAAAAAAAATCATGTTCAGTACATGCTTTGAGAACCCTCCTCCAAAATCATGTTCAGTACATGCTTTGAGAACCCTCCTCCATACATAAAGTTTTCGTAAGATCCATATCTAATCTAACAGTCTGAAACACTGGAAAAAATTGATATCGTACAATGCTTAGATAGCACATCAGATAGAAATGGCTACATGGATCAAACTAAGTGTTATCGATTGCAGGTGGCAGACCATGGCGGAAAACTAGAAATCCATAGCAGTTGTCAAAAAAATCCCCCATGGCCGTTATTCGACAACACTGTCAAGAACCATATCTAAATACATACCATTTAATCAAAATCATCTATAATGGTTTGTCACACACCAAACATTCCTTCAATGGAATAATTAAACTGTAATCACGCGAATCGGACACCAGATACTTTTTAACTACATAATCATAATGTAATCACGCGAATCGGCGTCGTAGGACACCCGACACTCCTTTAATGAAGCAATTAAAAACGTAATCACGCGTATCGGCATGGTCGAACACTACAGTACTACATTGAAATAAGGTAAAGTACAAGTAAATAAAAGGCTAATAATAATTAGGGTTAGGTTATATACCCATGAGACAGAATTGGAGAGAGTAGCAAAAGCAAACCGGTGCTGAGGATTGATGGTGAGTTTGGCGTTGACAAAGAGAATGATGGCTTGTTTAATGGCATCTAAACGGGTGAGGGGTCTTCCATTGGGTCCAGTAGCACCCTTCATCTCAGCCATGGATTGAGGATCAATATCCACACAGAAGAGTATATCTTCATTGTTGATTCGTGAGGGTTGCAGAGTGTACTTGCTGCTGTTGCTGCTTCCCAAACCCTTATTGCTGCTTTCTCCTTCAATTCCTTCCATCTATCTCTCTTTTTTTCTTTCAGGTTGTAACACCGTAGTGAGTAAAATAATAAAGGAAGAACCCCCTTTAATTACTTGTCTCCTTTTACTACCTTTCCAATTCAGATAATCTTCTATACTTTCTGTCCTAATTCAACACATTCCATATCGAGTATTTTTTTTATTGTTTCTGGCGAGCGGAGTATAAGAGAATATTTCTAATTAAATAGGCTTAATATAAATTTTAATAAGAAATAAGAGAGAAGGAGAGAGGAGTAAAATTTATAAAAATAATTTTTTTTCGCCTTCCAAATCAGAGTAATCTGGAGTAGAAAGGAGAAAATATGGAATTTACTCCCTCCATTTTTGAAAAGGCTGTTTAGAAAAAAAATTATTCTAAAATATAAGTATAATATAATTATCTTATTATATATATTTTTTTTAATTTTTTAAATTTATCTTTTTCATATTATAAATGAAGAATAATTTTTTTAATTATTTATTATTTTTCTTTTTCATATAGTGATTTATATTTTTTAATACGTGTGAAAAATAAAATAAGACTTATAGAAAAATGAAAGGAGTAATATTTTTTTATATTTATTAAAATATCTTCAATTTAATATTATTATTTTAGAATTATTCATTTTTTAATTTATTTTAACTGTTTTTCACTTTTAAGTTATTTTTGTATTTTTATATTTAATATAAGTTATAATAACTTCATTTTTTTCTTTTTTTATAATTTTTTATTTTTATCTTTGTTTATTTTTCGTTTATTTTCTTCTAATTTTATTATGTATTCTAGTATAATTCTTATATATTAAATTTTAAATCATTTATTTTATTCTTTGTCAATCACACTAATATATATATATATATATATATATATATATATATATATATATATATATATATATATATATATATATATATATATATATATATATATATATATATAATTTTTTAACGTTATGAGATAAATTATAATTTTTTTAATCAATAAATATTAGAAATTTTGTGTTTAATTATTTATGTATATTTTATTCCAAAAAATATTTATAAATTTTTAACTTTGAATATCCTATGACTTATTTAAGATCATGAAGATAAAAATATAAATTATTAATAAATTTCATTCTTTTCCGTTGTAAATCAAATACATTTTCAATCAAAATTTCTCATTTTCCCTTCTCTCCCTTTTTTAAACCAAACATATATATATATAATTTAAAAAACCTTCATCACCCCTCCTCTTCCCTTCCCTTAATTAAAATTCCTCTCATTCCCTCTTCTTCATTTGAATCAAATAGACCTTAAGTGGTGGAGAAGCACATTTAGAAAATTTAAAATTTCCTATATGAATCTGGAAGTGTAATTTCAGGCGCATCCATTCCAGATAACTATATGCATAATTAAGTCATATATCTCTTCTTGCCTATAAATAATGTTGAGATGCAGTTGAGTATTCACCCAATATGCACCACATGCATTTCTAACTGAGACACCTTCACTTGGGCATAAATTGATCCGGAGATACATCTTCGTAGAAAATTACGGATATACACTTACGTAGTCACCATAGACAATAATTTTTATATATTTTTTTAAAATACACCAATGTAATAGACCATGTATTATAACTATACTATCATAATTATTTTTTTTAAAAAAATTAAATCATACACTTATCGAATAAAATGAAAATTACATATGTAAATGAGTCAATCCCGAATATGTAATACAATCAAAATAAGTGAGAAACCATAATATTATCCCTAATACAAATACTATACTACTGCATATGTCAAACTCTAATGTTCCTTCATTACCTCATGTACTACAATGTTGTTCGTGACTCAGTAAGAATGACATCTACAATGTCCCTCCCATGAGAGCCTTTTGAAAAGACTCCACTACATATACTGCACGTGCAAGATCCATTATACGAAGACATGCAGACAATACATCAACTACATGACGTACTCAAGTTTGTTACTCCTCTATTTTATTTTGATGAGTTGGCTTAGGTGGATCTCATAGAGCATCCAATGTCATATAAGTATATGACACTCTAAAATTCCACTTGACATAGCCATATGCACAACTTCAGTCGCTATAAACTACGACACCTCGTGCTTCATCAAGTACTAGAAGATTAAGGTAATCATCATACATGGCATTTACATCTCTACAAGCCGTAATAGAAGGAGCAGAATCAAAGGTGTCTCTTGAAACAAATTGCATATACTCAAACTGGCGCATGATGTGCTCAAGCAGATGTGGATACATCATATGTGATCCACAAGCCAACCATCCAGAGTAAAAGGCTATGTCGTCCAAGGAACGTGTTTGACGGTATCATGGTACGGATGGAAGTGTATATCATCTGCTACTATATGGTCAAGGTACATTCTGAAGCTAATTCCCTTTGAGTGGGATGAATGCACAAGCACGGGCATATCCTCGGTGTAGGTATCAACATATGACCGGTCAGATATGTGTGGAAAGTGTTAGATGATCCATGCCTAAAAATTATACATATGAATTATTATTAATGGTGTAACATAAGTGTTATGAAAATGGTAAATAAATAGTAAAGGATGCAAATATATTACCATTAATAGCATGAAACTATATGTCATCTATTTAGTCTTCCACATACAACCTTCAACTAACTTGGAGTACAGGTAGACCAAACAAGTGACCCTCAGTAGTACTCATGAATTCGCTCCAAGTCGGGAAAGTATCTGAGGTCAACCACATCCACATAATAGTCATTCTTATCCAAAAATATGGATGTGCCAACCAAGTACAACATGTATGCTCTCAATTCATATTGTTCTCTTTGTATTGGTTGCATTAGATAAAAACAAAATATGAACAATATATATTTTAGGCAACATGTGGAACAAGATGTTCCAACATGTGTTCTAGCATATGAGTTTCTTGCCAATAAGAGTTGTTGGCTAGAGTGCTTGATATAACTAGTTAAGTAAGAGTTATTTCGCTAAATTTCTTGACAAGAATAGTTTCAAGAGATGTTTGGTTAAAGTGCTTGACATAACTAGTTAAGCAATATGCTTAAGGTTTGGGTTCTGATTGTCTTCTGGTGTCCTTCAGGAGTGTTGAGGTGCTGACTTCTTTAGATGATCTAGAGTTTTACTTTTGGGAAGAACTTTGTATTGATAATCCAAAATCAACAAGAAAAAATTTGGATTTGTTCTAGTAAAAGATGATTGATTGAATGTACATATAAGGAAGGTTTGGTCTAAGAACTACTATACAAATAAGACTTATATGAAAAAGAGTCATTTTGGATGCTCTGGAGTAACATGTGAAACAAGATGTTCCAACATGTTTGTTACAACATTTGGTCTTCATTAGCATGTTCGTTCCAACATGATTTGTACACTTCCTCAAGCAGTGAGCCAACACAGTCATACAAAATTGAGGAATGTAATTCCTCAATTTTTTTATATCTTGATTCTGAATGAAGGGGACACACTTAAAGTGCTAGTAATCATGTTTGACCCGATGTTGAGACATGTTACCTGACATTTTGCATTCTGGTTTCTGATTATAAGCAATACACCTTTTCTTTGAATTTTGTTACTCATTAGAATGCATAACCTCTTTCACGTATTTGAAGGTTAATTTTTTTGTTGCTAGATTAGATTCACCTTCTTCGTCAATAGAGACATTTGAGATTATTTTTTGTTCTATTGGAACACTTGAGCATTCAACTTGGATATGACTAAAGTCTTTGCAATTTAGACATTGGATCCCTTTCCACTTGTAGGAATAGTTGAGATTTTGTCTTTCAACATCCTTTCCTTTATGGTGAATGTTATTGACATTGGTAAGGACATTTTCCCCAGGTCTCTTGTCAATTTGTCTCATGACTTTACTAGATCTTTTATTAAGCCTAAGATATTTTTCAGAATTACATTCTTCTTGAACATCGTAATTTTTATAATTGTCAAAAATATTTGAAGTATTCTTAGCATCATGACAAATCTTCGGTTGATAAATAGCTCCTACTTATTTAAGGTTTCTCATCTTGAACATAATAATATTTCGCTAAAGCTTACCCAAACAGAACATGGTGTCTGCTCAAATGTTAATTGAAAATTCTGTTCCAAAGGGAACAAATGTTGGACCAGATGCTTGGGACAATAAAAATGACTTGTTTATAACATATTATAGCTTATGGGGATAGATGTCAAACACAATGTCTGAGACATTGTAAACCAGAAAAAAAAACAAGTTTGCAAGCATGATATGATAAATTAACATTTACAAGATGATGAAGCAGAAAATCAATAAATAACACAAGTGATTGATGACTCAGTTCAGTGAAATCACACCTACGTCTGGGGGGCAATCTACCCAAGAAAGGAAATCCATTATTTGAATTAGTACACTTAGTCTTACAAGAACCAACAAAACCTATGTTCTTCAAAGCCTCTTCCTAATCCTAATGTCTTTCTATTTAAGTACTCCCCCTAAAAATGAGAACTTAATCATTTTCTTCTCAATCACACAACCCGTAATTGGTATTTACAACTCAATGAACAATATTGAATGTTACAACTCAACTAGGACAAACCTTTTATGCCAAGTTAGTGAAACATACAAGTGTACATAAAGATTCAACCCAAATCTTTCTATTTAAGTACTCCCCCTAAATATGAGAACTTACTCATTTTCTTCTCAATCACACAACCCGTAATTGGTGTTTACAACTCAATGAACAATATTGAATGTTACAACTCAACTAGGACAAACCTTTTATGCCAAGTTAGTGAAACATACAAGTGTACATAAAGATTCAACCCAAATCTGGTTATGACATTAACATGTAATAGAAGAAAGACTATGTTCTCAAGCTTATAGACTTAGCATCTTGGAACAAGTTTTACAACTTAATAAAAACCATACTTTATGCCTTATGATATGAAAGGAGGTGCTAGAGTGGTGCAAATAAAAAGACTCTAAAGATAAAACCTAACACTAAG